ACACGACAATACGTATTGCAATATATTGCAATACGCTTCAGCAAAATGGCAATATATTGCAATACGGTTTTTGCTGTATTGTTACACCCCCTAGTTATTAATATGATCAAAAATATTTGTCATTAGCCAGTATGTTGAATGTTGTTAATTTCATTTGCAGCCGACTGCAGAACAGCTTGCTTTGAACAATTTGATCCACAGTAAAGATTCTACAGCTGAAGATGCAGATCTAAAAGATAAAATCAAACAGGTATTTATATTTCTTAACTAAAGTGATGGTGGAAGGGGGTGGAGGACATCTCCCTTCACTAGAAATATTGAATGTAAGAACTGTGTGTATGATTGGGATAGAATTTGTCGTGGATATAACCGTTAATTATTGAGAAATTGGTTTTAGTGGAATGAATATTTGTTACTATCTTTCATTAAAAACATGTTATGTTGATCATTTGTGAAGCAAATACTTTCAAACTTTATACTAAGTCTTCATTCATGAAAAACTTGTTCTGTTGTCGGGCGAAGAAAGATGGTCATGATTTTTTAATGCTTGAACTTGGGATTATTTGGTTGAGAGCGGGGTTTTTTTTTTCCCAGGATTTTGGGAACATGACCTATACTCATGGAAATGGGAAATTCAGTGATGTTTTGTTAAAAATTGGGGAAAAATGCATTACTTAAATTTTGCAGTGATTAAATGAAAGCAAAGAATCACTGTCTAGGATGACATCTTCAAACATTTAAGCGCCTTCACATTGAAGAAGCCCATATTTTCAAAGATTTTACAATTTATTATTCAATATTTTTATTTTGTAACTTTCAATTGGGGAATTTTTTCCTGTGGATTGGGAAAATAATATACTATTTTCAATCGCGAATATCGACTATAAAATAAGCCAAAAAATTCCATGGAGAGGCACACTTTTTAAAGGGTTGGACCACTACACCTGTTGAATTATTTTTGTCCTTACAGCTGGATGATATCAATCATATTATTTAAATGTTTACCTTGTTTGTTGCAGATAATGGATTTGACTTTCTGTTCACAAGAGAAGGCAGAGATAGCTCTGTATGACAGTAAAAATGACATGGATAAAGCTGTCAACCAAGTGTTAGAGGGAGGCTCTGATGAGGTAAATCTTTCTATCACACTATATCTAAATATTTTGATACTCATTACTTGAAAAAGTAGGAGAACCACTGCATTATCTCACCTTTTGGGCTTTAAATTAAAAACTGTAATACTAAATTTCAAAAGCATTTTGCCAGGTGGCTATGGACATGGGCTACACAATACTTTGTGCCGAGTGGTGTAGGTTCTTGGCTTCCTATATAACTTGTCTTTCATCACTGTGTGTTTGAATCCAGTCATGACAGGGACTGGAATCTTTCATGTGGGAAAGCTATTCAGTTCACCACTTACGAAACATTGGTGGTTCTAATCTGATGATCGTTTGTGCCTGAATTTATGCAACAGAGGGGCACCTTAGGTCTTTCTCCACCAGTAATGGTTGACAGTTGACATGACTTGCGCTTTGTTAGTTTGACGTGAAACCTAACAACCAAAAAAAACCTCCAAAAAAGGATACATTAGGTTAGAATTTCCAATAAGGGACTGAACTATAGCTATTCAAAGAATTGTTGGCTATTTATTTCATTCTTTTGTTGGCATTAATTGAACAATTGCATGAAACTCGGGAGTTCTGATTCCACAACCACTTAGTTACTGGATACTTAACAGATGACGCCCAACTCATTATTGTAGGTCAAGTATAAAAACCTGTAGCTCTAGTATTAATTTTCACATAATTATTCTTGTTAGTGAAAAATTCAAGCATGGCTATTGTTTTTCTATGAAGTACTCTGAATAGTGAAGCATGCTGTCCGTCACAGTTAACTTTAAAGTTTTACGGGTATTTTTGACCCATCAAACTATGGTAAATTAATTGTAATCCTAATTAAATTTATCAGAGTGAGTGGCGAGAGTCTGGCAAGAAGAAAAAGAAACAAAAGCCAGAGCCTACCCCTGCACCCACAGAAAATCACAATGACACCAAACCCGACAGACGAGATAATAGAGACAGAAATGAACGAGATAATCGTGACAGAAACAAAGAGGAGAAGGAAAATGGCGAGCGTAATTTTCGTGAACAGTCAGACAATTATCGGCAGCGTGCCCGTCGTAATGACAACAGACCTCCAAGGTTATCACGGGGTCGTGGCAGACCAGACAGAGCTGGAGACAGACCGGAACGTGGTGAAGAGGAGAATGAAAAAGATGATAATCGTGACAGGGGATTTGATCGTGGCAGGGGTCGTGGACGAGGGTTTGGTCCACGACGTGGAAGAGGTGGTGGCAGTGGAGGAGGGAGTGGAGGGTAAGTAAAAGCAAACAAGTCTGTCTAATTTTGATAATCTTTGTTAAGTCAATGGGATTCATTGTATTTGACTGTATCATTTAATTATTATGAAGAGTGTTTATTTGAAATATATATTTAATTCAAGACATTTTAAAATAATTATTAATAGGTAAGTATTTAAATTAAACAAAATGAAATATACAGTGCTTCTCTAACAATTTTCAATTTCATGTCATTTTTCAAAGAATACAGAACAGTAATACTATTGCATTGATTTTTTACACACCCAATACTGGAATTTAGTTACATAAGTAAACAGCATTTTTGCACATCATGTTTCAATATCGAAATGAAATTAAAATTTTACATTGCAGGACTTTCCGACCAAATAGAGGTTTTGAAAATAAGAATTCCCAGTTTGACAATGGTCCACAGATAGATACATGGACTAATGAAACAGCTGTGATAGGCGAGAAAGAACCAAAAAGTAAGTTTATACCCATATTGAAGTTTGGTTTACAAAATACTCAAATACTCGATAGGGATAAACAAATCTACTTCCTGTTTTTGCAAGTAATGCACAAGCTAAATATAAGGTACAATGATCTGAGGTGGCAGGTGCTTATAATAGCAAGACTTGGTTCACATTGAATTGTATAGGCAATGGCACATTGATTTTGTTTATCCACTGTGATACTTGTTTCCTAATGTTTATAGCAGTTAATAGTGCACATCCATACAATCTGACCAGGCTTAATTCTGTTATTAGCTGAATAATACTTGTATTTGATATTGAACTCAATTAAAATCTATATATACTATTACAAATTCAAAGATTAATTTCTTTACATTCTTTCCCATTGAGAAATATATTGTTATATATATTTACAGTATCTAACTGGGGTGATTCAAAAGAAGACTGGAATGAGGATATAGATAGCTGGACTGGAAGTGTATGTTTTACTATGTTAATATTTTCTTTCGGGATCTTGATAATTGCAAAATTTGATCTGATTAATATTAATTTCCATACATAATTTACAAACAGTCTCTAGAGCTTAAGTTATAATAAATTCAAAGTCTAGGGAGATGCACAATTTATGATTGTGATCATGTCATAAATATATATATTGTTAGGGTTTTCTGTTGGGCATTAAAATTGTTGTAGATTTGATTTCCTGTCCTTGTCACTCTTCCGAAATAGACAAGACTAAAACGATAAGACCTAAAGAACAGCGTTTCTATATGATTTATATGGAATTGCATTGTATAGTAAGCATTTAAAATCAGTCATTTACACCTAATGAAGGATAGAGTGTTGTAATTATATTGAATTGTAAGGGGCTTGAAAAGGTCTTACAAAGAAGTTAATGTAAGAGTTACTTGTTTGAATCATTTCAGTTGGCAGAAACAAAAGTTTTTACAGCCAGTGGCTCATCAGCACCAGAACCAACAAATCCAGTACCGATAGAGTCAAATGCACTCTCCAACACGTATGTTCATTATTGTTTTTTGTGAGAAGATATATTTAATGATTGTATAAGGAAAATTTAGTTAAGAAAATTTTTCTTGCATATATTTGAAAAATGTCAACTGTACATGTATTAAACATATTTATATATTTCTTGACCTGTATTGTTACTATTTTACTGTGATTAAATTGTCCCAGTTCTCAAAGTGAACAATTTACATGTACTGTATATCTTGCTCTTTTTAAAACTATTAATTAATTGAGAGGACTGTGTTGTTAGAAGCACTACATAAGATTGCAGTTGTTATGATAGATTTTTAAGTTGGAAATTTCGATTTTCAGCATACATTTGAACTTAACCTAAGTTGTTTTAAATCACTTTAATTAGGAAAATATGAAATGTTTTGAAAAAAATTAGGCGTCCAGGCCAGATTGGTTAAGGTCAGCGACTCAAACCACTTGCCTGTTATTACTGAAAGTTTGAATGCTGCCCTTTCATGTGAGGAAGCTATCCAGCCGCTTACGGAATGTCACTGGTTCTACTCAGTGTCTTTTTGTGCCTTAAATAATGCACTGTGGTGCGCCTGTGGTCTTCCTCTACCAGTAAAGCTGGAAAGTAGCCATATGACCGTAAATAAGTTAGTATGACATAAACCCAACAAAAAAATATATTTTAACAAGCATTATTGTCCTGTTTTTGCCAGGTTCGATCTCGGAGGATTATACCCAAAACATCTACAAAATGACATGAGTGCCGAGGCAAGCTATATCAGTCAGTTTAACCAGCAAGCGACGGAGTCAATCAAGAATTCTATAGGGGTAAAAAAAAATGTTGTTTTACTGTGATATTTTACTTCCACTTGTGTATGTGTAGTTAGTGGTATGCCGTCTTTGAATCATGTTGTCCGGTTTTAATCCTTTCAGTAATTTGAAACAGTTACATATGTAGAGGCTATCTAGGTAATAGGAGGTCAGCGGAAGTATTTCTTCAACATTAAAGCTAAAATGTTTCCACATTAAGAATCAAGAGGGTGTTGATGTGATTTTTAATCATTCGTTTTCTGATTTTGTCTGTGAAATGAAACTAAGTGGATGATAGCAATGGACAGTTTTTGAGGAAGAAAAACAAACAAAAAACAGTATGGCGGTCTCTCTTTAGAGAGCTTTTACTTAGAAAAAAAGAATGGAAAGATTGAACTTAAATGACACTTAACCCTTATCCCACTAAATTGCTTAAGTCAAATTAAATAGATTCGTTTCAGTCATTATTAGGGAATATTTCTTAGAGTTAATGTAACATAAGGGCAATCCGTGCTGTTTAGGGAAGTATGAAAAAACATGACAATTGAATTTTTACACTTTAAACATGATAGTGCAAAACTGTAATATCTGTGCAGGGTTATATTTAGATACTAGATAGTATGTAACTGGAGAGCTGTAATGTTTAATGTAGTATTTATCTGTAATTATTTCAAACAATAAGGAAGTGATTATGAAGAAGAGAGTTTTACTGAGAGATTGTTTTCCTTATGGTTAGATTGGTGAACTCATTAAAATAAAAAAATTCTCAAGGGTTCTGAAACAGTTTTAGAGAGTACATTATGATTACTGTTATTGTACTATTATTGACATTTATTTTGTACTTGTTTAAGTGGATTTTTTTTTGGTGGGGGGGGGGATAATCTGTATTAGATTTGAACATTTATGATATTCCCTAGAAATCCTGTCCTATTTTCTTCAGGATCTTGTCTGTATGAAGTGTACATAAAAATACCTAGAAATTATGATGAACTGGTGGGACATTTCTATCAATATTTAATTGAGTGTTTTGTTAAAAATTAGTTAAATTAAGCTATACTGTAGAATAACAGTCTCCTTAAAAGCATTTCTTAAAAAATCATAAAAATTTCTCATAAAACATCTTGTTGGTACTGCAAAAAAGAAAAAGATATTGAAAAAAAAGTCTTTGCAACCGTTAAAAATATTATTTAGAATTATTATGTAGAAGTTAGTTGTGTAACTCTTTTGTCAATGTGTGAATTTAAAGTTCAAAATTACTTTTTAACTCCAGTCTTAGAGAATGTGGAATGTTTTGCTCATATACATGTTGAATATAATACATGTTTTATTTTTGTCATGTTTCAGATTGGATCTGGACAAAGTTCATCCCTTCAAAACTCTATGACCTCACAGACTGCTTCCAATGTTAGTGCTCTTGTCTCACTACAACAGAATGCCTTGCATGATAATTTGGGTCCCAGTCTAACAGAATTGACTGGTAATAATTTGACTGGTTCAGGACTTACTGGAAATAGTTTAATGGGGACCAGTCTCGGCAATTCTCTGTCTACCAGTCTGCCGGTGAACAGCCTGACTGGTAGTGCATTACATAGTTCCAGTCTGAGTGGCAATGATTTAACTGGAAATAGCCTCACTAGTCTTTCAGGAACCAGTCTAGCTGGTAACAGTTTAACGGGAACCAGTGTTACAGGAAGTGGTTTATCGTTTATGACAGGAAGTAGTTTATCAGCAGGGTCACAGTCTGTTGCTGGTCCCTCAAATGCCATTCCAGCATCATCGGTGTCCCAAAATGCAATGTTACAACAAAGACAGAAGCCTCAAAGATCAAAGTTACCACCACCATCAAAGGTATTGGCAAGTTATTTCTTATCATACAAACATTAATCTTCAAATTTTATATTATTCACATTGGATAATTGATTTCATCCTAGTTTTTGATATACACATACTTGATAATGATACAATGTTAGGAATCAGGTAATCTTGAGATAAATCACCCACTCGTTCACTTCTTAACTATCTAATGAACATAGACACTGTATAGATCATATTTTATGTCTTTGTCTCCAAGCACGAGTCATAATTAAAAACAAACCATATCGATTTGCTTAAATAAATGAATGGCTTATCTGACTGGTGTAAATAATTTCTTTTCCTCACATAACTTTAAGAGATGATAATGATGTCGTGTCATTTGTCATCATCCAGCACAAAAGACATTCTTTTCAATAAAATTTTTTAATCATTCTGGAAACCTTTAAATAATAATTATCAACTTTACTAAAAAAATGTAACCTCCGTTTCGAGGGGATAAACCCCTCTTTATCAAGTAGTTTATGTTTCTGTTTTATTGTTGACGTCAACGATGTCATTTCCTGTATACAAAATATAATGTAAGACAGGAGGATAAAAATGTGATTTATAAAATTTCCTGTATACAAAATATAATGTAAGACAGGAGGATAAAAATGTGATTAATAATAATAAACAGAAACTCCTTGATAAAGAGGGGTTTATCCCCTCGAAACGTTGGAGGTTAAAAATTTGTGAAGTTGATAATTATTCAATAAAATTTTGTTGTAGATCCTCATCACGATAAATGATAATGCTAGTCCTGTTATACTTGGGACCATTAAATTTTTGCCTTGAACAAAAGTACTTATAAGTTATTTACATAATGTCTTTTAGATGGGTCAATTATTTTTAGTTACCTCTCTGGCGCGGGTTCGATCCCCGGGAGATGCTTTGGTAGTTAAGTGCGGAAGAAAGTAGTCTAGTACTGGTGTAACTCTCCGGGAAGGATGGTTAGGAAACTACCCGCCTATATGACTGAAATACTGTTAAAAAAGGCGTAAAATGAAACAAACAAACAAACAATTATTTTTAAAAAAAATAACTATTGGCACACTTAACGTATACATGAGGATAATCAACATATATGGTCTGTATGGACAAGGATATTTACAATACTAAAATTTTAACAGGTGCCTCTATGTCAGAAATGGAACTCATTTGCCCCTCACCTTTGTTAGTTTGATCCTGTTGAAGAATGTAAAATTCTCTCCTGTGAAAAATATCCAGCTTTCTGTCTGTAAAAATGTTTGTATTACGTCTATACAGGAAACAAATCTCAGAAATTCTAAATAATATTTTATTTCACTATAATAACTATATTTACTTTGTGGAAAAAAGTTATACATTATAAAGGTCTTCTATTTGTTGAAAGTTTGGGAGTCATTTACCTCTTGATTTTGGCTTGCGACTTCAAAATATACAAAATTATAATGCTTTTCCTGCTTAACCTATATAGTGTGATTTCCAGTGTCAGATACTTTGCAGTTTCTGACTTCCAAAATTTAAAGCTTAATGGAAGCCCTGCAGTAGGCTTAAGCAGGCACAGATTTGAGCTGAGCATCTTTAGAATTCTTGGTTGTCATGGCAACAAGTAACAGATAAGTTTAGCCAACTATTGCAATTCTATTTCATGTATGATTTTCAGATTCCAGCATCGGCCGTTGAGATGCCTGGTAATATGATGACAACATTGGACGTTCAGTTTGGTAACCTCGAGTTCGGTTCTGACAGCTCAGCATTCTCATTTGGAGGAAATGAATCTGTAAATAGTGCTTTCACTAGTGCTGATTCTAACAGGTGAGCTTGGTTATCTGTGATTACAGTAGATTATACCCTGAAATATTTTATTGGTGTTGAAAAGTGTCAGCTCGAATGTCAATGGGTTTTTCGTAATTAAAAGAAATTGATTTTTTGTGTTTGTGCTTGTGTGTGCAATGTTTTTAGTGCCTCCTTATGACTGAAATTTGGCATGAAAGAGAGCCTTTTATCAAGTCCTCATATAAAATAAAGATATGAAAAGTATCATGTGATTTAAAGTTTGGATCAACCTACTAAGGGAGAGCATTATATGTGTAACCCAGGTGTTGCAGGTTCCATCCTCTGGTAATGCCACTATTCTCTGTGACAACTGATCCTGGACATTTAGTCATATGGTTATTTGTCTCTCACGGCTGATTTAGTGATCAAGTCTGTCACTTGTGGAGAAATTGTAGGTATCAAGAAAAGTTGGTTAAGGGATACAACCAAAAAAATAATAAAAAAAGAGAAAAAAAAACACAAAAGCAAACAAATTTATTTCAGCAAAACAATATCTAAATTTATTACTAAATTCTTTACCAGATTCTGTGAATCATGAACAATTTAGAATAAGAAGAAAATAAGATACATATCATATGTGATTTATAAAATAAACAGCAAACTCCTGGATAAAGGAGTTTATCAAGCGCCTCGAAACGTTGGTGGTTGATATACTTTGTGAAATAGATAGCTATAAAAAAATTTAACTGTTTACATAACATATTTTATTTTGGCAGCACATCAACTGTAAATGATCATGGCGGTGCAACTGTTGGTCAGGTACAGAATTTAAGTAAAACTAGCGAGTCACTGATATCAGGCGGACTAGAACAAAGTTCTCCCAGGAGCAGTTCCCTATATCAGCAGTCACCATACACGACACCAACCAAACAGAACCCCGCCGATACTGCTAACTCAGTAAGTTATTACTCCTCTACTTTTATAACTGAACTATTCAAAGACAAGAAGGGTGTTCGTACTCCTCACAGTGTACTTATTACAGTTCTAGCAGGCAGATTTAACATGCAGCTTCATACTTTATTATAAAGTTTATTAACCATGAAAGGTACAAAGTAATAACATGTGCAGTGTAAACCTCAGCAGGGTGTGGCCCTCTGAGGAGCAGTTTACCTTTACAACATCAGTGTCAAATCTTCCTAGTGTAATACCTGTGTAGAGCAACACACCAAAGCAATAACCCATATCTTTGTGTCCAAAAACAGGAGCAACAAAATCAATTGTCTGTATTGCCTAGGTTTGTCATATCGCCTGTACTGACAAGAGACTTTTTTCAAGAATCTTATTTTATAAATATCATACGGACAAGTAAAGAAAATTTCTATGGTCAGTTAAGTCAAAATCAGGTTTTGCCGACCCTGAAAAGTGTGTTTCTCAGCAGAGGTTGCTCTTGATATATGTGTTTATCTAGTGTGTTAAACACAGCAGTATTAAACATAGTTGATTAAGTAATGCAATGATGAGAGTGCAGGGGTCCAGAATTTAGCCAATCCATGTGGGCTATTGTTAGATTCATGATATTGCGGACACGTACATGTGGTACGACTGTGATACATGTCTCTGGCAGATTCTTACTGCTAATCTGAAGCATTAATAGAAATGAGTCGACACATGAAAAAAAAATTTAACAGGAGATATATAATTGTATAAGGGCAGATGAAATATTATTGAACAAAGTGTGATTTTGTATAATAAACGATTCAGCATAAAATATGCTTTTGGGGAAAAAGTGGAGGGAAAAGACATTAAAAATCCAATAATATGATTTGTAATCTAAACTAAACAGTTTACATTGATTCTAGTAAGTTTATTTCATTCTTCACTATTTCCAAGGTTTTATGTATAAGGCCCCAGAATATTACCAGTTTAAATATATAAATAAAAGTGTAATGATAGCTTCTAGAGATTTTAACATTTTGAAAAAGTAGTTTAAGTATGATATTGTTTTTCTAAGAAATCAATATATTGCAATATTTGCAATTTCAATGTGGATTTAACCTTATTGTCTCACCTTCTTGACGTGATTTTGATATCCCGCAAAATAACAATGCTGTCTCATAGCAAACATCCTAATCTATGTGTTAAAAATTTCTAAATTCTTAATTTTACAGTGGTAAGGGGTTTACTTTGTGATTGAAATTTTAATTGATGGTGTGATTTGAATTTTCATTGAAATCTGAAAAATGAGGGTGTAACGCCACTTATGTTGAAGGATTGACACCGCTTGATTTGAATGATTCTTGAAACTTTTTATCTGTGATTGGTTTAATTGATGAGGGTTTATACAGTACTGGGTTTATATTTTCAGATAAATTCTCCGCCAGAGTCACTACAAATGCAGGGATCTTCATCGGATCTGAAATCCAACCAGCTCATGGCTGGACAAGCACAACCAGGTAAAAGTTTTGTTAATTTTCACTCCCAGAGTAGCTTACAATGGTTCTGAGTCTCTGAAACACAGAGTGGCTGATTGTGTATTCTAGGACAATGAGTAGTTTTCTTTAAAGTCCGAGTTGGTTAGAAATCATCCTAAGTTAACCCTTACAATGCCAGTTACTTAAAACAGACTGGTCAATCTTTTAAACTAGACAAAACCGTTCATTGTTTTTAGGGAATTTTCAAAATATAAACTGACTGAATAGCAAACAATGCAGACCACGATTAGATGGCTGAACTTGTTCTGCACTGTTAATTTTTAGAAGCATACGAAAGCCATGTGTTGACAAGGGCAATTTTTCACTTACTCACTTTACATCTTAACAATGGGAAAGACATAGATATATTTATTTTAACAAGGGATAATTCTATATATTTATTTTACAAGGGATAATTATTACTCAAGTCATGTATATATTGTATTGATAAATTTTGTCCTTTAAAATGATTGTAAATCTCTTTTCAGCTTCACTGCCGTCAACGAAAATTGATTCAAATCTTGGTTCTTATTCATCTGGTTCATCATACCAGTCTACGGGGTACCAGTCACAGAAATCTTCGGCTGGGTACCAGTCCTCAACTAAACCTGCAGGTTACTCGGGAACTCAGTACCAGTCAGCCCCAAGCCAGAACCAGTCAAATTCAAGCCAGTTTTCTAGTCAATATAGTAGACAGTCTAATCAGAATCAGTTTCAGTCTAATAATAGCCAATTTCCGTCTGGTTCTCAGTATCAGTCTCCTCCAAGTGGGTACCAACCATCACAATCAGGGTACCAGTCAGCTCAGTCTGGCTATCAGTCGAATCAACAACAGTACCAGTCTGGCCAAAGTCAATTCCAGAACTTCCAGTCTGGTTCTACATTCCAGAATCAGTCTAATTATTCCTCTAACCAATCAAATCCAAGTGTTTTATATCCAACTACTACATCAACGTCATATTCAAGTCAGTCGCCACAAAATTCACTGTATTCTCAAAGTTCACGGCCAAATTCTTACTCTAACCAGTCTTACTTGAACGAGCATGCGACGGGGGCTGGTTCCTCATTTCAGACATCAGTGACACAGTCTAGCTCTGCGTTTAAGGAAACTCAATCAGGTGCTAGTTCTTTCAGAGACAATGTTGCTTCCTCAACTAAAACGAGAGACAGTCAGTCGGATAGTTCGACATTTAACAGGGACACACAGTCAGCATCAAGCTTTAGTGATAGCCAGTCTATGGCATATAATCGTGACAGTCAATCTGTGGGTAGTTCATTTAACAGAGACCCTAGTAGTTCATTTACACGTGACTCAAAGTCAGCTAGTGGATCTTATCCTAGGGATACGCCCACGACTGACACTGGTGCATACAGTCGCGATTCTCAATCAGCGAGTGCCTCATATTCGGGTCGGGATAGTCAGTCATCTACGACTGGCTTTCGTGATACTCAAACAGGTGCCTCTGGGTATGGAAGCCAGGCAGGCTCGTATCCAAGGGAGACCAGTCAGTCTCAGACCCAAGCTGGATATAGTGCTAAAAATTATCGTAACTCTACGGAGGTAACCTCCTTACAGTCCTCGTTTACTGGAAGTAAATTAGCGGATAACTTTTCTAAAATGGGTGTGAAAGATGGACCATTGGATACAATCCAGTCTTCTAGTTCACAGGTAAAGTATATATATATATCTGTATTCACAATGATATTTTAAGAAATTGAGAACACTTTGAAATAATCGTTTTGCAACTTTAATTGAATATGTTTTAGATTTTACTTTTAGTGTTTGAAGTATGTGTTCCAACAAGACCTGTATAAACTTTGAGAAATACGTCACAAATAGGAATGATCAGAAAAGTGGATATTTTAGTATAGTATGTTAAAAAACAAAACAAGTTTTGTAGTCATTTGAAGTTATTGTAAAGAAATGACATAACATTCAAAATTCTGTTGGATAAATGAAATGCAAAATAATGTTTGCCCAATTATGTGTATAGTTACTTTATAAAAAAAATTGGTGTACAAGTTGAAAGTTTTTAACTTCAGTTGCTTTCCATGTGAGAATGCATACAAGTAATTAAAGTTATTAAAGGTCCCTGAAAGGATTTGCTTATCTATAGGCAATGTTTGCATTGAAAAATTCTGAAAATATAGGAAAAAAGGAGAACAGTTCAACTGCATAGATTTTAATTGTAATACCTTTGTTGAGAAAATGACAATTATGCAAAAGGTATAACGTGACATCAGTTTTAATGCAAAACTGTGTATAAGGTGTGGATTAAAATCTTTTAAATGTGACATCGTATACTGTAAAGTAAGATACAGAGCTCCAGATAGTGTATGTGCCATGTCGGCTTAAAATATAGATAAAAAATGCAAAATCGGCATAAGCTCAAGATTACATGCATCGCATTTACGCACAAAAAAATCAAAATAAACTTGTATATATCAAAATTCTTGCATGAAGAATTATAGTATTACCATTGTATATTTCAAAAGGAGATGATTTTTGATATATTTCATACAAAAATTACAGTGTAATATGCTTTATTGGATAGGGAAAAAAACTGAACAACTCTGTATGTTTAAAAAGGAAGTGACATATGATATGTATAAAGGGAGGTAATTCTTGTAACCTGAAATAAATTATTCGTAACATTTGTGAAGCAGGTAAATATCATAGGGAGTTGTCTGAGTTGACCTTATAAATAAAAAATACTTCATTTGTTTAGATATTCTTTGACACGTTATTGCTGTAAAATGTTACAAAAATACAAAAATGTTTCTATTTCTGGAGATTTCCTTCCATCTGCAGTTCCATACTAAATAGTTTTGTACCATGTTTACTGTGATGGACAAAGTCATCTGCGGCCAACACTTTACAAAGTATAAGATTTAAAATTTTAATGTTGGTTTCGTTTAATTATAATTTCATTTTTAATGGATTCAACAATAGAACATGCAGTAAAATTTAGAAAATAATTTGAAATGAATGAGTAGGCATGAAATAAGTACAAAGTGATGATATGTGGAACCAAGACAGATTGAAAAATTATGCGAGACATTTTGGACAGGAAAGAAAAAACGAGTCAAGTCATTTTTTCCCAGCATATCCTAAACAACATCAGTGTTCGAAATTAGCAGTAGTCCTATAGCCCCTGACTACTAAATTTATCCTCGGGCTACCAACTTTTCAAAGTAACAAGCCCGACCAGGCTACTGTATTTTCAGACGCAATAGAAACAACTGTTTTGAACCAATGAATTGTGCTAGTGAAATGTCTTTTGGGCTAGTGAATATTTCAATCTGGTAGTCCGACCAGCCTAGTGGATTCAAATCCTAATTTCTAACACTGCAACATTGTGTGTACCTGTATCCCCCTTGGGTAGTCTGCTTTTACAGACTTTGTAACTGTTACTTTGACTTATATAAAAGACAGTTTTATTTAGTATAAGAAGACAATGAAAGATAATTTAAAAGAACAGAGGCAAAGGCAAAATGCTTTTGATTAATTTTACCCTACAATTTATCAGAAATTTCATTTTACCACTAACTCTTGATTCTGAGGGGTTAAAATAACCTTGGGGAAAGAAAAAAAATATATTATTGAGAGGCCAAAACTTTGCAACATCAATATTTCAGATTAAGGTTAAATATTCACAAATTTACTCTTTTCTGTTGAATATATTTTTACGAAAATCTTAGTGAACTTGAATCCTTCACAAAAGTTTCTGATTTAAACAGTAAACAGTTTATATAATGTATATTGCAACAACATACTAATAACATTTTTACAATTGTTTCATTAATACAATATCACTAAGAAATGTTACAGTTGAATCCTACAGACGTTTGATTTTCTATGAAAAAAACAAAAACACTGCCATACATTGCACTGGGCGCCATTATAATACCGAATAGTGGCAAACGGCGTTAACCCGATGACACAGTTAAAAATGTTGACAGTTCATTTAAGCAGTTTGCATGTACAGGATTCCAGCAGTTTAGTTATACAGTTGTAAAATAAGGATTCAGTATTTATAGAAGGCATTCAGTAATAATGTGAAATGTTCTTTCTTCAGTTTGATAGTGTGTCGAGTGCGTCTAAAGCGACAATAAATGCAACATCATTGACATCTAGTACAACCTCTTCAGCTATATCATCCACTGGTACGACTGTGATCAGCAGTACGACAACAAAAATCTCAACGTTGCCGTCTGCTACAGCTGCTTGTAAGTGTATCTCTTAACCTTTGAGCCTCTAGTTTGCGTAATCATATGTAATGGTCTTGTACTATTCCTTTATGTAAGGTAGCTGTCCAGGTAGCTTATGGAACGTCCTTGTTTGAATTCAAGTACTTGTTCGTAGCTGAAGTAATACTTAAAAGGGGCACCTATCCCAAGATCTTTTTCCACCAGTAAAACTGAAGTTGCCATAATTATGATCTTTAAAAGTGTTGAGACTTAAAACCTGACCAAGTAAAATATGAAATATTCAAGTTTAGAAACATCATGTTGTTTTGTTGGGTTTGAGTAATGGAAACACCATGTATAGCTGTATGTATCAATTTCTTGTAATTATTGATTTAATGAAATCTCTTCCCTTTTAATTTGTATAATGGACATGTATTTCATTGAGTTTCAACTGCTGAAAAGTATATATTGTAACATTTTCTCTACTGAATCTGCAACACGAGTTCAATCTCTTTTTACCTACAAGAAAATAAATTTTACAGTCATGTCGAAATTCTTGTACCTGTTTCTCCCCCCGCCGGTGGCTCTTGTTCTATTTGACAGTTGTTTTCTTCTCAGATTAAATGACAATTACCCAATAATAAATAAAAAGAAATGTTTTATTTTATTTAAGCATCCAAAGCCCCACCCAACTTGCCACCAGGTGTACCTTTAATGGCACAACAGTACATTATGGGACAAGCTGGAACCCTGCCTTTCTATGTAAGTATAATTTTATGTTGATAAAATTGCATGTACACTTTTTAGACAAAAATTTATCTTCTATGTTGTTGATTTGAACAATTAAGCATATATATATATTGTGAATGTGAAATGCTTAAGAAAAAAAGAAACTAGAATTATCTGCAATAACACAAGATATTTATTGGTGGGTGTCTGAGACTGAGTGGTTAAGGGCATTTGAGCTAAAACAGCTTGCTCTTTTATCTGTTGTGTTCGAATCCTGTGAACGTTTTTATGCAAAAGCCATTCAGCTAATGAACCCTTCAGCCTCTGAATTTATATAATGGATATGCCCTAACTTAAATTTTAAACAGTCGATTAAAAGTTTAAGGGGATTTTAATATTAAAATACAAAAGTTGTCTTGATAAAACCACCTTAATGCGTTTGCGACCAGCATGGATCCAGACCAGCCTGCGCATCCGTGCAGTCTGATCAGGATCCATGCTGGTCGCTATCAGTTTCTCTACTTGTAATAGAGTTGGTAAGCGAACAGCATGGATCCTGATCAGACTGCGCGAATGCCCAGGCTGGTCTGGATTCATGCTGGTCGCAAACGCACAATGTTGGTTTTGTCACGACGCGGCTCAAATACAAAAGTTGTCTTGAGCAACCAACAGTATAGAGCCTGGTCACCTAGCATGGATGTCTGGTGGTAAAAGCTAATCACTTATGATTGTGGCGGTGTAAGCATTGCCACAGTAAATTTATACTTCTTCCAGGTCTTCCATCAGCAATAAAAACAGGAAAGTTAACGTATTACGTTAACAGTGTTTATATTAATCCAACCAATTTTATTAAAATATTCCCCATCTTTATTAATGTTCATGATTTTACTTGATTTCAGGGTTTACAAGGTCTGCAGGGATTACAGCAACCCCAGCTGTACAACTTGGAAGAATTCCAGTATCTTCAACAGAGAATGCCACCTCTTGTAAGTTTTACTATTTGTAGGTTTCATTGAGAAATCAAATTCCAGGCAAGCATTCTTTTTTTGGCTGTCCGTTGACAAGATAGTATGCCTTTGGATAAGGGCATTTTGGCTGAATTTTTGGCCAGTTTGGCCTTAATTTTCAATATCATAAACACATTAAAGTTGTTTAGTTGCAATCTGTATATTTCTATATAAGAATTAATGTCTATAATTGATAAAGCCTTGGGAATCATTTCTTGATAATCCAGTTACATTGACAGTATAATTAATAAATCATTTCCTTAATTGCCTTTTGTTCTAATTATTAAATCCTAAGTTCTGAGAATTAGGGATCATTTAAACTAAGAATAATTTATAAATCCTTAGAAACCATTTCCTTGTCATTTGTTCTTTGAATGAAGTTACATTAAGAGCAATGTTTGGAAACCAATTATTAATACATTGTTATTTTTTCTGAGAATAAATTTACATTGAGAGCAATCTTGGGGAAAAACAATTGTTTCTGAAAGTTACATTGTCTGTGAATACTAGTTATGTTACATTGAGATCTTCTCAGAAATATGTTCCAGAACTGTTAAGGTTGGCTGTGAGGAAATTCTATATTAACAGAATGTTTATTGAAGACAATTTACCGGATTCTGAGCTAACAAAACATTCCATTTCTCTTATGTATTTCTTGTACAATCTCAAAATAAAGGTAGAGGGTGTAATAACTTGATCCCCTGTTTTGTTGCTTCTTTATCCAGGGTTACTGCATGTGTATTTTTTACAGCATTGCCATGCATTCAGAATTTTCTTTCTCCTAGTGTGAAGTGTTACTATACGCTTTACTTTACATAAATTTCAGTCTAGGGTTTAAGGGTAAAATCAGCTGAATTTGACTTTCTTTTCAATTAGTTTCATGATCCACATTTGTAAGACTAGGTGCATGAGTCGACATAAGCATTTTAATTGAAGAGGTAGTTGGTCTTATAAGTGAATGCAGTTGTCATTTTGGCTGTGAGGAAATTATATTTTTACGATGTTTACTGAAGACATTTACCGGATTCTGAGCCAAAATTTGAAAATGGTCTTTTTTTATTTTAATCAAATCAAAACAGACACAAATTGTTATTTTGGCTGTGAGGAAATAATGAATTTACAGATGTTTACTGAAGACATTTACCGGATTCTGAGCCGAAATTTGAAAATGGTCTTTTTTTTGGTCACCTGTCACAAAGTGACAGGGTGAGCTTTTGTGATCGCTTTTCGTCCGGCGTCCGTCCGTAAACTTTTACTTTAAATGACATCTCCTCATAAACCACTAAGCCAATTTCATCCAAACTTCACAGGAATGTTCCTTTGGTGGTCACCTTTAAAAATTGTTCAAAGAATTTAATTCCATGCAGAACTCTGGTTGCCATGGCAACCGAAAGAAAAAACTTTAAATATCTTCTTTTAAAAAACCCTAAGAGCTAGAGCTTAGATATTTGGCATGAAACATCTTCTAGTGAGTGTCTACCAAGTTTGTTCAAATAAAATCCCTGGGGTCAAAATTGGCCCCGCCCCAGGGGGTCATTGATTTTCCCTATATGCATATAGTAAAAACTTAAAAATTCTTCTTTTAAAGAACCCAAAGAGCTAGAGCTAAGATATTCAGCATGAAACATCTTCTAATGAGTGTGTACCAAGATTGTTCAAATAAAAGCCCTGGGGTCAAAATTGGCCCCGCCCCAGGGGGTCATTGATTTTCCCTATATGCATATAGTAAAAACTTACAAAATCTTCTTTGAAAGAACTCAAAGAGCTAGAGCTAAGATATTCAGCATGAAACATCTTCTAATGGGTGTCTACCAAGTTTGTTCAAATAAAAGCCCTGGGGTCAAAATTGGCCCCGCCCCGGGGGTCATTGATTTTCCTTATATGTGTATAGCAAAAACTTAAATAATCTTCTTTGAAAAAACCCAAATAGCTAGAGTTTAGATATTAAGCATGAAACATCTTCTAGTGAGTGTCTACAAAGTTTGTTCAAATAAAAGCCCTGGGGTCAAAATTGGCCCCGGGGGTCTTGATTTTCCCTATATGCATATAGTAAAAACTTAAAAAATCTTCTTTGAAAAAACCTAAATAGCTAGAGTTTAGATATTAAGCATGAAACATCTTCTAGTAAACGTCTACAAGATTTGTTCAAATAAAAGCCCTGGGGTCAAAACTGGCCCCGCCCCAGGGGTGTCATTGTTTTTAACTATATGTGTATAGTAAAAACTTAAAAATCTTCTTTTAAAAAACCCAATGAGCTAGAGCTTAGATGTTTAGCATGAAATATCTTCTTATGGATGTCTACAAAGTTTGTTCAAATAAAAGCCCTTGGGTGAAAATTGGCCCTGGCAGGGGGGGGGGTGAGGCTGGAGGGGGGCGGGTGAGATCATTGTTTTTCATTACATGTGCAGGGCCGGCAAAATCTCAGAAAATTGTACTTGTCCACGGACAAGTAACCTAAGAAATTTACTTGTCCGTACTCAATGTTCACTTGTCCGTATTTATATTTAATATTTACTGCAAATGTCAATAAAAAGAGCAATATGATTATGAAATTTCTTTCAATTTTATTAAACATTCTATGCCATATGTTTAATAATATAATATATTATGATTGTAATATAATATATTTATAAAATGTTAACGGCAGTAGATTAAAGTAGAACGACAGTGATGGACAAATTGTGTATATTTTACTGGAAGGAGCATTGGTCTTTTACCAGCACTTTTTCAGTTTTCCTTGCACCCAAATTGCTCTAAAATATTATCTTCATTGTTTTGCACTCTGGTATCATTTCTTATTTATTCACTCCTTATTCTATTCATCTATATAATATTCATTTCAATGATTTGAATCCTTTTAAAAAATCATATGTACTCTTGAGTTAGATTTGTCAAATTGATGACATCAGGCTTTTTTTAACGATATAATTATGATTGCCACAGAATGTAATATCATATACGTACGTATATACGCTTGGTTGCAGCAGATGAATTGTGAAAATTTTGACATCATTACCATCGGCGACGATGAAACTGACATGTATACATTAACACCAGTATTAGACATTCAAAAAACAAAGGCATTTTTCACAAGAAATCTTTACATAAAATAAATTATAAATGACTTTGTCCACATAAATTCAAGCAGTCAAATTGCCGATATGAGCGTAAATATTCCCGAATGACCTGGAAAAGCCATACAATGTATTTAAATTTCATTCTACACAGCGGTATTTCAAAGACAATTGTTGCGAGATTGATGCTGTGTCCGATGATCTAAACAATAAATGCGATTGTAAAGACCACAGCTTCCAATTCAATTTTATGGCAGAACCCCGTTGCTACCGAAAGTCGGCAGTCATAAACCAAAACAAACATATACCCTCAATAATTAGTTAATTGCCGCGTGCATGCAGTAACTGCATGACGTAAGGAAAACCCCAAGCCTGGTTGGTCGCTATTTATGTAAACACTTAAAATAGTAACACCCTAATATGCACGGAATGCCCTCATGACAGACACCACACTTCACACGCTAGTTTTCGTATTAAATGTGTGATTTTCCTTCTGATTTAGATCTATTAGAAAAGAACTAGATTTTTTTCTTCAGAATTCCTCTTTTAGCCGCCGAAATTTACTTGTCCACGGACAAGTAAACTGCATAATTTTACTTGCCCGGACCTACAATTTTACGACTCGGGCAACTCGGACAATTGATTTTGCCGGCCCTGCATGTGTGTAGTAAAAACTGAACATTGTGAAACATATTCTAATGACTGTCTTCCAAGTTTGTTCAAATAAAAGCCCTGGGGTTTAAACTGGCCCCGCTCCGGGGGCCTATATACAGGTGAGCGACCTCAGGGCCATCATGGCCCTCTTGTTATTTTAATCAAATCAAAACAGACACAAATTGTTATTTTGGCTGTGAGGAAATAATATTTTTACGATGTTTACTGAAGACATTTACCGGATTCTGAGCCAAAATTTGGGAATGGTCTTATTTTAGCTCACCTGTCACAAAGTGACAGGGTGAGCTTTTGTGATCACTTTTCATCCACCGTCCGGCGTCAGTAAACTTTTACTTTAAATGACATCTCCTCATAAACCACTAAGCCAATTTCATCCAAACTTCACAGGAATTTTCCTTTGGTGGTCACCTTTGAAAATTTTTTTTTGGCATGAAACATCTTCTAGTGAGTGTCTACCAAGTTTGTTCAAATAAAAGCCCTTGGGTCAAAATTGGCTCCGCCCCAGGTGTGTCATTGATTTTCCCTATATGCATATAGTAAAAACTTTAAAAATCTTCTTTTAAAAAACCCAAAGAGCTAGAGCTAAGATATTTAGCATGAAACATCTTCTAATGGGTGTCTACCAAGTTTGTTCAAATAAAAGCCCTTGGGTCAAAATTGGCCCCGCCCCAGGGGGTCATTGATTTTCCTTATATGTGTATAGCAAAAACTTAAAAAATCTTCTTTTAAAGAACCCAAAGAGCTTGAGCTAAGATATTTAGCATGAAACATCTTCTAGTGAGTGTCTACAAAGTTTGTTCAAATAAAAGCCCTTGGGTCAAAATTGGCCCCGCCGGGGGTGGGGGGGTCATTCATTTGCCTTAAATGTGTATAGCAAAAACTTAAAAAATCTTTGAAAAAACTCAAATAGCTAGAGTTTAGATATTAAGCATGAAGCATCTTCTAGTGAGTGTCTACAAAGTATGTTCAAATAAAAGCCCTGGGGTCAAAATTGGCCCCGCCCCGGGGGACATTGATTTTCCTTATATGTGTATAGCAAAAACTTAAAAATCTTCTTTTAAAAAACCTGAATAGCTAGAGTTTAGATATTAAGCATGAAACATTTTCTAGTAAGTGTCTACAAACATTGTTCAAATAAAAGCCCTGGGGTCAAAACTGGCCCTGCCCCAGGTGTGTCATTGTTTTTACTATATGTGTAAAGAAAAAATCTTCTTTTAAAAAAACCCAACGAGCTAGACCTTAGATAATTAGCATGAAACATCTTCTAATGGGTGTCTACCAAGTTTGTTCAAATAAAAGCCACAGGGTTTAAACTGGCCCCGATCCGGGGGCCTATATACAGGTGAGCGACTTCAAGGCCATCATGGCCCTCTTGTTTCTTTTTATCAAATCTATACAGACACAAATTGTTATTTTGGCTGTGAGGAAAGCATATTATTACAGATGTTTACTGAAGACATTTACCGGATTCTGAGCCAAAACCTATAGAAATTTGGACCTGCACTTAATGTTTTCACTAGATATTTATTCAAAAATTGATGTGATACTTCTTGTGTGTGTAGTGTATCTTGGCAGTGAGGAAATATTTAAATTGACTGACTTTTTTAATGAAAGACAATTTACCGGATTCTGAGCCAAGTTAACATTTCAAAGTATTCCTTGAAATGAAAACAATGTCAAAAAAAAAAAATCAACAAGACTGATGATTTGGAACTTTTTATGTTTCTTAATTTGGAAAATGCCTTGGTTTGCCAGAGGTATCATCTAGGAAAAATTACCAGACCTGTTTAGTCAACATAAAATATTCTGGAAATATAATTGCATGTTTTATATTATATATTTACAGGCTACAAGTAACATGTATGATTTACAGCAGGCAACAGCAGCAGGGCTACCAATCCCCCCTACAACCCTGAACTCTAACAGCACACAACAAACTATTCCTACAGTGCCATACTCTGGTAAGTTTATTGGTCCAAACTTGTGTTAGTAAGTTAATTAGTCGTAACTCTCATTGGTAGTTTATTGGTCCAAACTCGCGTTAGTAAGTTTATTCATCATAACTCTCATTGATAAGTTTATTGGTTCAAACTCTCATTGGCAAGATTATTGGTTCAAATTATCTTTGGCAAGTTTAATAGTCCAAACTCTCATTGGTAAGTTTATTGGTCCAAACTCTCATTGGCAAGTCTATTGGTCCAAACTCTCATTGGTAAGTTTATTGGTCCAAATTGGTGTCACGTCTTTGTTTATAATTGTGTGAGGAGGGTAACTGCTTTTCAAATGCAGAGTTTGTCATAAATATCTTTACTCGGATGCCCAACCAAGTCTGAAATGATACGCTGAGGGTTACATCGGGTGGTCTTTTTTTATTACAAACAAACCACGAAACTGTTGATGTTTCGAAATTAATGAACTGTATAATAACATTAATAATTTACTTATTCAGGTTCTAATGACAGCAGTAAGTTACCGAGAGTGGATGCACAATCTCCCACTGGTTCAGTACCATCAAACTCTCAGCAGTCGGGTAGCGGACAGTCGGCAGCACACCAGCAGCCCTACATTCATCTCAACTACAGTTACTATTATCCACCATCACTGATTCCTGGAGCTGGCTTCCAGTATCCAATGATCCCGGTTAGTTTATTTTTTTTTGACCATTTATGAATGGCTCAGAAGTTGAGCCAATGTGTCCTTAATTTTCCAACTGGCAAGTTAAGAAGATTTAATGTAGACTGTTTAATAAGACTGTTCTCTGATACTTGTTGCAAAATATAAAAAATGTAAGTTTGAACGTATTTATTTTAGCTTGATTGTAAAACACATTCTTGCAATTTATATTAATGACTATTGAGTCCTCTTACTGAAACTAATCATTACTGGTGTCATATGAAAATCATGACATTGACCCAAGTAGGGTACAAACTAATGATTCATGGGTCGAGAGGCAGACACCTTAACCACTAAGCCATCTCTAGCTTCCCCTTTAACATGAGGAAATACACCAGTATGATAAGATGTGGAGGTTTAGAAGCAAAATGGTTTTAACTTGTATTATATAAATGGGGGAGGTACAACTTTTTCACACCAAACCTTTGATGTGTAATAACCATAACCGATTCCATGGGATAAGTATATTAAATTCTTTAATATGAGAAAGTCTACAAGCCAGTGTTTTGAAGGTCATTGATTTTACCCAGTGTCAAGGTTCTCACTGGGAATATCGCGTATTTTTGCTCCTCTGAATTTACATTGAAAACTGTGTCATTATCACTTCCGGCCAAGACAAATTATGCTGTAACTGAGTCTGCTTGCAACAGCAAATTCTAAAAATGCAACCGGTGCAGACCAAGTTAGCAGGCACATCGTGCCAACTGATCACAGTTTGCACTGTTGACTATTTTGTCGATACTTATTTTGAATTTTCTTTATATGAATGAATGGTTTTGTTTAGATTTGAAGATGGGAAAATGTATTTAAGATATTAAGTGGTGGTAATAAAAAAAAAGTGTGTAAGTTTGAGGTTTAATGTATGAACCCTATACTGATATTGTTATAGATGCCCCAGGTAACCAATGCTGCCCACGCCGGCACTCCCGCTAACACACAGTACCAACAGAAAAACTACGGCTCACATGTACAATATGGAACAAATAAAAGTAAGTTCGGACATTTTTATAATGTTAAATTTAAAAAAAATTAAATTTTTCAAAATTTTTTGAATATGAAAAAATATGTACATAACTTAATGGTATTTACGCCTCATGTTTTGGGTTCAAATTCTGCCAAGTTCTTTGGAATTCTTTAATGTGAGGAAGCTGTCCAACTACTTTACAGAAGGTTGAGATAGAAAAGTCACTATATGACCTTAAAAAGTGTTGGTGTGATGTAAAACCCAACCAAAATAAAAACAACAGAATGTAGATGTTTCAGACTTGTGTCCCAGCTTGTGATTAAAGTGCTTACTAGATAGGCATCCGATAAGACCTTTGCCTGCTGAATTTATATGGAAAAGTTTAAGAACCAAAAATATATCGTATGATTATCATAATGGTGACAGATACAGCATTCGAAATATTTTAATATAAATGAAAGACAATTTATTAATACTATTATGCTCTGGTCTTTGACCACTTAACCTGCTAGAATAAAAAGTGATTAGCCTTTGCCACCAGTATAGAGCCAGGTCAACCTGATCATCCATGCAGTCTGACCAGGCTTGATAATGCGGGGGTTGGCCGCAAAACTGCAGTAACTTAAGTGAAATACAGAAGGACTTACAACAGTTCTACAATCAACACTTGAATGTGGGAAGCTCAATTTTTGCACACCGGGATTAATTATTGAAATTCCTTGATACTAATGTTGTTTCAAATTCAAGCAGGACACAATCATTACAAACATTTGGCATGTTGAAGGCTAAAACCTGGGCCACAAGCTCGTAATCGGTCACATATATAGTTACAAGTATATTAAGAAATCTTTGTAAACATTGGTCAGGTTCAGGATTAAACGAGATGTTTGTTAAATGTTGTTTTCAGTGTATGACGATCTGACTGGTCAGTCTAGTGGTGATTTCTCTAAAAGTCCATATGGAACGTCACAGGCACAACCCAAAGCTAACTGTAAGTATATCAGTAAATTTTACTTTATAAGTCCATCTGGAAATATTGTTTTGAATTTCTACTGGTTGGTTGACACATTAATGGAACATTTTTGTATCTATAAAAAGTATAATTAAGAAATAATAACAGTCTGAGCGGTGTTTATGGGCTATTTAACACCAAGGTAGGAATTGACCACGAAGGCCATACATATTGGTACTGATGTCAGTGATTTTTCACCTTGTATAACAAAGGCTTATGAAAAGACCTCTTGCGAATGAAAATGAAAAAGTCATGCAGCTTTTCACTTTCACCAGCTTTTTTACTTCCCAAATAAGCAGATTTAGCAATAATTCTTCCCAAAAACTCTAATTGAGAAAAACCACTGGGTTGACACATTAATTTAACATTTTTGTTGTTTGTTGTTATAAAAAGTATAATTCATATGCATTATACTTATAAAAAGTATAATTCATATTTACACATTTCAAAGATTAAAGTACTACCTCAGAGCAACACCATTTGGATGGGAAATACTTTGGTTGTTGCTGAAGTGCTGTTGCTTTAGAGAGGTTAGATATAGTGTTTATATAGTTTTCTTTCAGAAGATGTGATTCTTTTAATGTATAGAGGTTTTAATACTTCATAGGGCAAGGGCCGCTGTTCACAGGTTAAACTGTATTTGTTTTGTTGTTTTCAGCATCAGTGACGGCAGGTTCTGGTTCCAGTGATATACAGATACCTGGCTATGGTGCCAAAACACATACACAGGTATGTATGTTATATGTATGTTATAATATGTGCAATACCTGACACCTATAGTCTTAATGTATAAACAGAAATATTCAACAATGGCTCTTTAATAAAAGTTGATGGTTCTACAAAAGAACTTGCTTTGTCTTCATTTTCTGCTACAAGAACCTCGATATAAAACTGTTATTCTTGATCTTAAATAGATTGTAAATTCTCAAATAAGCAAGAATGGTATTCCATTTAAATAAGAAAAGGTGTAAAGTCAGAGTAAGGGGTAAAAATAGCCCTAATTTAACTCTTCAAAAAAGATTTAGATAGTGCAATTACAAAAGGGTCTAGTTTAAAGATTTAAAGGAGTTAGTTTGCTCTCAGAAGGTCAGTAGTTCTACCAGTTATGCTTGAAAGAATATGCTGAGTAAAATTGTGAACCATTAATCATTTGGCTCAATCTAGATATTGCCATAACAGATGCAATGTTATTTAAAACTTTGAAAAAAGAGGCATCTTTGGCTTAGTGGTGAAGGTCATTGACTTTGAAAGTAGTGAACTATCATCTAACCACTATGGGTTCGAATCTGATGCTTTCATATGAAGAAGTATCCAGCTAGCTTAAGGAAGGTTGGTGGTTCTACCCTTTTCCTGAATGTAATGCATAAAGACATACAAGTTTTACTTTACAAATAAAGCTTGAAAGTTATCATATGACCTTTACTTTGTCAATGAGGCTTAAATCCAAGTAATACGGGGGGAAAAAAATAGTGAAAAGTACAAAGTAAATCATAAGTAATAGTGAAAAGTACAAAGTAAACCATACGCGCTTAACATAGTGTTTGTGATTGGGAAAGCTAATGTTTGTAGGCATTTGACAAGCAGGGATTTCATGCTGGTACCCCACCTCCATTCAATCTACAGCAGATGGCAGCTGGTCAACTGGCAACTGGTACCCAAGCTGGTCCCCTAGGAGCCCCGACTGCAGCGTATGGTGCACCATTTGTTCCCATGATGACTCATCAGCCACACTCTCAGATGCTCCACCATCCGTTACAGGTACTATAGAAAAATAATGTATTGATTAGTTTGTTTTTTTTAGGGGGAGGGGGAGGAGGAGGTACAAATTGTTTGAAACTATAGTATGAAACATACTGTGTTAATAGCTTAAATGAAGGGGAACACTATCAAGTTTGAGGATTGATATTGGTGAGCATGTGATATTTAAGAGATTGAAAGTTCCACTCGTCTGCTAGTAATTACGAGTAGAATTTAAGAGAACCCTATGTAGGACAAGTAGAAAAATGTTGCCTGCAAATTGGATTTAGAAGCTACTCGTCCTACAGGACTAATGACTCTAATAATGATTGTGTGGGCGTGACTATACAAAATCCATTGAAACAGAATTGAGTAAACACTTGATAATTATTGTAATTAAGACACCCTCCAACTCAACTAAACAATTGTTGAAATTGTTAGATCATACTGATATGATTGAGCCCTAAACTTGCTGCAATCGAATATGTCCAGCCTTTGCCACCAGTATAGAGGCCGGCCAGTTGGCACATCATTCAGTCTGACCAGGTTTTAAACTGTTTCACACAAATGGACTTACTCTGGAATTACAAATATTTTGGGTTTTTCCCAGCTGATTCAGGGGTACTAACAAACTTTACAATTACAGCTTTGAAAAAAAGAGCAACAGGTTGACTAATCTAATGTGACTGGTGGTGCACCCTGAAGCTGTAAGGGTAAAAGTTTGTTTGTACCGGGGGATTAGTTTGGAAAAACCCACATTTGCCGAGTTCCTGATAACATCTTTTCAGCAGGTTAAATGTTATAACACAATTACATATTGTTTGTTTTAGGATGCAACATCGTCAAGCCGTGGCAGTCAACAGGCGGGAAGTCACTCTCAGACAAAAACGGCAAGCAAATCGTACACAGGTTCTAACTGGGGTCCGTACTAGATTTGACGACTACTATCAGGACGTACAAAAGATAAACCAAGCAGTTCAGTTGTGAATACTTTCGGCTATATTTTATTTCACCAGTGATTAAAACAAAAATATGTTCACAAGTGTTATATTAACACCAAAAGAAAAAAGGTTTACGGTTTTTAAATTGCTTTGTTGAAGGTTTCTTTTTGTTTGTTTGTTAGAAATTTGATGCTGTGGCTGACATTTAGCTGAAAGTATTTATAGATTTAATGTAGAAATCTTATAAAGGGAGATAAGAGGGTTTTGAAAATGGTTATTACTGCTTTGCAACAAAATTATGCTGAACTTACCTTTAGAAAATATGTCAAGAAAGAAATGGAAATAAGAAGTGTGTAAACCTGTGTTTGTAATTAAAAACAATATAATTATTTTTGTGATTAAAAATGAATTTCTGTAAAAAAATGAAGAAGAAAATTTAGATTTGCTTAATGTCACAAAAAATTTCTAAATGGCTTTATAAGTTCAACTACATTTGTTTGAATTATATTTTTAAAAAAAGAAACTTTATTTGTGACTGTTGTTGTGTGTATATAGACTTCTCTGTTTCTTCTATTTCTTTCTTTTTTTATTCAATTTTTTGTGATTTATAAAAGTTTTCCCCACCCACCTGCTTACAAATAAAAACAGACAGTTACTCTTAAAATATAAATGACAGTAAATAAAATAATATTCTGTCCATTCTACTGCAAGAACTGCACTACTTTTGAGCTTTAAGGTGAAAAAGGTTTTTGGACAGTCTATGTATAAGTATTATTTTGTTTATAATGAATTTGTATCTTGTCTTTTTTTCTGCCTCCCTGGATTTGTGGACATAGTTGTTATAGTATAGTATTGCGCTTACAATAATTGGTTTGGTATTTTGTGTATAACAGTTAATTATTTATGAAAAATCATCTTCAGATATTTGATGGAATTTTCTGTTTGTTAACTGTATGAATTAAGAAAGGGAGATATTTCCTTGCATATTGATTCAAGTTAACAGAAGTTGATATGATCATTCTTTTGACATGATTATTCTTAAGAAAGCCAGAAGTTGCCTTTTTTCTCCCTTTTAAAACAATGAATTCTTGTTTTGAATAAAAAAAGGTATTTTTGCCCCCAGTTGTGTCTTTATGTAAAAAATATTTTATATTCTCCATTATGTAAATGGTTTAGAATTAATTTGAAAATTTTCGATTTCTTTAATATTTGATCAACATCTTGTGGCATTTGTGAGTGTTACATATTAACCCTTGCTGTACCAGAAAATAAGTTAAGTTTAAGGTGCATCCAGATTTAACCTAGAAATTTAGTTATATTAAACCAACATTTCTACGTTCAATTTGTGATACTTATAAGCTTCTACAATTTTGGTAATTTATTTGTTTAACACGCCATAAAGAACCACGGTGGATTCAAATCTCGTTGGGGACTTAGGATATTTTTCCTATCCAGCTAGCTTACTGAAACGCAAAAAAAAAGAGAACAAAATAGATTGATGTGATCATATCAGCTTTTGTAAACTTGTGTGACAAGATTTAAACGATTGGCACTGTAATAGAAGATTGTACATAATATTATATAGTTACATAGAGTATATTATAAATATATATATATATTTGATGCGATGTCAGTGTTTCTCTTTTTTTCTTTTTTTCGGTAACAGTACATTTATTATGGTGTGATTATCGTGTATTTTACTTAGTGAGGTTTTTTTTTTTTTTTTGGTTTATTTTCGCTGATTGTAGATAACTTCATTCGCTCCCCTTGTTTTATTCTTTCATTCTTCTCTGCCGTTTATTTGTGGACCAAATTGTTCTTTTCTTGTGTAGTACTGCTCAGAGTGGTTTGAACATATACCCAGATTATTCTGTACTGAAAAGTTTTCTTTGAGACAAATATTTTTCTTTCCTGGTAATAAGACTTTTGGAAGGGCCTTCATGCATTTCTGATTAGGGAAGTTAAAACGAAAAAAAAAAATTTTTTTCTTTTGGTAAGGAAGTCGATTAATGTACCTGTGTTTTTTATTGTAAGATGAAAACTGGCAGAATGGTATATATTAATAACCTGGAACAAAGTGTAATTTATTGGTGCATAATTTTTTTTGTGTGCTTCTCTATGTCCATGATGGAAATTTTTAGAGTTGTATGTTATAAATGGTTAATTGGGTGATGTTAAGTTAAAGGAATATGAACAAAATATGAATTTAACACATTGATTTTATGAAGTGTGTTCACTAAGGAAACTTAAACTTACATGCAAATGATGAATTTATTTTTAAAAAATGCTTTTATAGGGCATTTTCTTGTTTGTGACAATTTTGTAGATATATTTGTTTCAGGAAATAATGTGCTCTTTTTGTAGAAGAAAAAAAACCCAACTTACATTTAAATATAAATTAATTAAAATTATCAATTAAAGGGATGTAACTGATACATGATCTAAACTTTATTAACAGTTACCTCCCTTAGATTCTAAATGCTCTCGAATGGGTATTGATGATTTTTTTTTTTCACATAAGAGACTTTCTATACATGACTTGTTGCCAGCATTATTAAATGATGTATAAATATTGTAGTGCATATTATATATGAATTTATTAAAAATATCGATTCATCGGGAAGTTACGGACAAGTCATCATTCAGTGAGTGAGATACATAATATCTCGCTGTTGGAGAAAGTTTACATTGATAAGCATTGATTAATTTTACTATCACATGTTAGGAAATCGTAGGGAGTAACTGTGTTACCAATTTTTGTATGGTAACATATACCATCCACTACATGTGTATTAACAAGATCTGAGTTGATGAAACGTGGTTAAAGTAAATATTGGATGGTAGTTAGTCTGAACAGAATCTGGTAACATTGATTTCGTATATATAAATCATTTTTTATTTTTTTCCTTCATATTATAACTTGTTTTTGTTAAATAGATTGGAATACATGGCATCAGAAACTGTTTTTTCTTTGTTTTTTTCACAGTTGTAAATTCATTGTTCCCCCCGTCCCCCCCTCCATGTGTATCATTGAATTATTATAATGTATTTTGAATCATATACTTAGTGCATGTATGTACTACATTATAACTTAGGAGAAGTTTAATGATTGAAGCTGACAAAACGTGTATATTTGTCTTTGTATTATAGTCTTTGTTAACATATTTTTTTTTCTTTGCTTTTTAAATGAATGCTAAAATTAATACAAAAAAATGAACATTGTGTCTGTAATAAATTTCTAATGTGGAATAAATGTTTTGCTGTTGTTCTTTTATATATGTATATGTGAGTAATAGTATATGGTCACCTTTGTGCAGTGAGTAATGGGTTAATTTCTATTGTATAGATGATATATAAACTATGTTTAAATCTAATGAACATGTTAATAATATGTTCTGCCCTGCTAAATGATATAAAGTGTAAACCTGTCACTGCACCAAGTTGACAATATAACTGTTTGCTCTGTCATGAATTTAGTATTGTCCCTGACTGAACTGCCGAGTTTAACAGTCAGAAATTGATAAATTATGGTTTCACACCTGTTTTAAAAATGGTTTGTGGAAACGTGTATCTCTACTCCTGCCTGAAATAAGCCTGAATTTTCATCCGAGATGACCCATGTTCGAACTTATCCGAGCTATCACCTAGGCAAGCATCCTGACAAAGTTTGATGATGAATGAGGCATAAATGTGACCGCTAGAGTGTTAAAGAACAAGTGTGGACTGACGACAGACGGATATTCAACGATCCTAAAAGCTATGCCTGTGCTTTTCGAAAATGTAACATGATTCTTACTTCTATTCGCATGTCTTACCAATACTTACTGTAAATGAGAAAGCAAAGTGAGCGATCATTTAGGTACTAGGCTAAACAAAGCATCAACAGACCGAGTGCATTTTAAAAAGACCCGTAATACCACACATCCAGATTGAATATTGATGAAATAAGTTACATTTTCATTTTCCGTATTTTTACACTGCAGTGGCAAATTATTAAAATGTCGAATTTTCTGCAAATTACGCCTTAAGTATGTCTTAATTGACACAACGCCGCCTATCAATCAAGCTTGCAGGGGTCTTACCAGAGACTTATAAATAAGTATTGTAACGTTTCTGGTCTTACAGATAAGCCAGTCGGCGATCGTTATCGGTTTCACGCCAAGAAGTCTGCGAAATCCGACATTTTCCTTAGACAAGATATTTGTATAAGACAATGGTGCAGCAGTATTTATATTGAAATTATTTTGATTTTTTTTTTGTCAATTTAAAGCTATTAAATCGGTATATCAAAGTTACCAACTATCCTGATATATTAGCAGATGGAGTCAGTTAGTTCATTTTACAAAACAAATATCAGTAACTTTGTATATATGAAGATAAGTTATATTGCAGGTACAAAAGCAGAGACATAGATATTATCTAGATGTTATCTACATCTCTGGCGAAATTTAAATAGAGAGAAATTAAGAATCCCTAAAGAACGTACAAAACGACAAAATTGAAAATGTTGCAGGCTCGGTTTGATTGGGCCTGTTCATGGACGGTAATGGAATGTGCAAGTAACCTCCACGCCCCTTAGCACCGACTTAAGCAGTATTCAACATTTAACATGACCTGGTAAAATTTGGAATTTTGAAACAACCGCAGGTGTGTTCATATGGCGGTTATCATGGAACCTTCAATGTGACACGTTAGTGGCATTCCATGAAAACCCCAAGTAAAAAAAAATGCAAGGGGTGGAACTAAATAAAATGGAATTTTGAATGGGGATCAGAGGTTATGAAGCCTGGCTATACTACAATGCATTTAACAAGGAAAAAGTTTAAACAAATACTTTATTCCCTCCTTTATTACAATTATGTCTATTCATTATCACATAATACACTATAAGGTCTGATATGAAATTTTTTGTTCGTTCTTAACATAGTGTCAATAAAATGCTGCAGTAGAAAAAAGTACTTGCAATGAAATGAGAGAATATGCAATGAATATTTTATGTGATATTATCCTACCTAAATATTTCTATGAAAGCTCAATGAATTAAGATTAAATATTTAGATACATCTGCTTCAATAACATCATACCTGATCACGGTTTTAATTTAAAACCGAGGTCTCATCGTCTGGTGTATTCGAAACTTATTTTGAAGTGAATAATATTGCGTTTTATCACGAAACATATCTAATTTACAAATATACATATAATCATATATATCATACTTCAAAGTTACGCAAGGGCAATTTTCTCATTCAATTTTAACAATTTATGCACAAATGCATTATATATAACTGATTTCGCACATAAAACCCTAAAAACATTTGTAAATGTTACTGTGTTATTGATATAAATTTACTATTTATATGTTCCGCTACATCAATTTTAACTATTTTTGAATTTGTAAACTAAAATGATATTTAGCCAAAATCATCTTCCTTCAAGGCAATGAGAAATATAGCAAAATCTTTGCCAAACGTTTTATTCATAATTAATGCATGAGTGCAGTTATTTGGTACTTTTTAGCTCGACTGTTTTTGAAAATAAAGTAGAGGTATTAATTGTTATAGTCCTGGCGGCCTTGCCGTTGCCGTCCGCAAACTTGTACATGGATCATTACTTTTTTAGTTCTAAGTGTATTGTCTTCATACTTGGCCACAACAACCCTTGTGACAAGACCTTTCAGTAGACCACACTAACCTTGACCTTCATCCATAAATGACCTTTACCTTTAAGGTAAAAAGTCCCAAGTTTTGCTTGTTCTTGCTATTTGTTATTTTTGAATGGATTGTCTTCAAACTTAAACATAATAATCTTCAAGGATAACCCTTAAAAATAACCAGACAGACTTTGACCTTAACTCATAAATGACCTTGACTTTGAAGGTCAAATTATTGAAATTGTCATTTTTTGGCTATTATTGGCTGTAACTTTGTTAGTTTTGAATGGATTTTCTTCAAACTTGAACATAATAATCTTCAAGAATAACCCTTAAAAATAACCAAACAGACTTTGACCTTAACTTATAAATGACCTTGAAAGGTCAAATTATTGAAATTGTCATTTTTTGGCTGTAACTGGCTGTAACTTTGCTATTATTGAATGGATCAACGTCATATTATAACCGAACATTCTTAAGGACAATACCTTTATGTTTATCAAACTCAGATTGACTTGGGCTCTTTAATGACCTTGACCTTGAAGGTTAAATCACCGAATTTTCACAGATTTGTGCATTAAATGACCATATTTATTGGTGTGGATAGATATAGATGCGTGTATAATATATATATATATATATATATATATATATATATATATATATATATATATATATATATATATATATATATATATATATATATAAACAAATCTTAACGTTTCCTTTTGATAAATATATATAATACATACGCATTTATATATATATACACACATTTAAATTCTATAAGTTTTGTCTATATATACAAAATATATAGACAAAACTTATGTGACAAGACAGACCGGTTAAATTTATAAAAAGGAAACGTTAAGATTTGTTCAAACAATTCTTTGTTTGCTTTAAGAAAAAATATAAAGTCGAGCGTTGCCCCCGCCCGGCGGTGGCTCTTGTTTAAATACCATAATACATTGAACTATCCAAGAAAAGCATTAAAATTTTATATATACCAATTGATATAAGGTAAATTCGTTAGTCACTTTAGTGGCAAAATAATTTCCTGTAAACATCGGTAACGTGTTTTGTCTAAGGTTCTGAATGACCGGGTAACGTGAATCAGTGGGCGGAGCAATCTTTTCTCTGGCGTAATGTCAATTATCAAAAGTTTATATCGGATTTTTTTGCCATGGCAAACAGTTAACATGCATAAAAAAACGTTTTCAAGATATCATTGCATGTATTCCTTAGGGAAGTGATAATTGTTTTATAGATAACCAAAACCTTTAGACAGCTAATTGCAGTGTATTAAACATTTACTTAAAACATCTTTACATTATGATGAAATCTAAATCTATTTCGATATATTTGCTGCATTAACAAAATGAATACCAAACAAATGAAGGATTTAAGACTTGATGTAGAACTTGTCAATACCTCTGGCGTGGATGTTCCAACGTCTGATATAACTACAAATACTGAAAATATATCTGAGATGAAATCTTACGATGAAGTACTTGATGAAAATGTCGCCAAAGAAACAAATGATGTGGAAGGTAAAAATGCTGGTACAACTAAAGAAATCAGCAATGGTTTTGAACGGAAATATAGCAAGAATGTCAATGGGATAGAAAATGCAGGTTATCTGAACGACCCGGATGCTATGAATGGTCGAACTATAAAGGTAATGCTCAATGTCAGGTATGTGTATGTCTGTAAATAATTTTTTTTTCAAGTTTATTGTGTCAGAAATTAATTCTAAACAATGATTATTTTTCATTTCATTATCATTTGAACCAATCAAATAGCGATGCGAATAAGAAGAAATGGCATTACCACTGTAGGAGAGGCATATTTTAATAAGTGGCAACGGCAGCTCGTTTTTATAAATAAGTCAGACCTGTGAAAAGTTATTAGAAGAGTCCTTCAAAAATATAAATACTCCTCTACACACTTTTCCAGTCTCAGAATCCATTCCGTAAAAGCATTTTTGAGCTGCACTTTGGAACTGTTCTTTGGGAATATTGTTTATACACTTGTAGTGAGCGCTTCCGACGGCACTACGGGTTTCGAACCGGCGACCGCGGAAGCAAGACTTGATGTATGGATTTAACCAAAAGTCACAAGAAGAGAGGTCAGGACAATATAAGCGGGATGTAGCGAAACCTCAATTATCTGCTCCACTAAATAAGCTTAAAGCAAGACTGACCGGTACGCAGATGCATTATCATGGAGTAATTTGATCCTGCGCATCCCGGACCTTGGGTTCAATTTTGCAATAAGCTATTTGCTGCTCTCTCAAATCAAAATGCAACTCAGCCATGTTTACAACCAATATACCAAACCACATGTATTTCAATGAACGTGCCATTAAAATAATTAGTACGTGGTTTGTAAAACAAAACTAAATTTCTATGAGATTTTGATCTTGGATTATACTTTTGATTATAAGATATGATAAGAATATGTAAGTCCCGGACATATTGAGGGGACGTATAATTCAGTGCTACCGATGTGAAAAATACATCTTTTCTTGAAAGGCAATATTTTTAATCTTGTGTATAAGTTTTTGGAAAAGTTTTCTCATTTAAAGGTCTAGAATAATTTTGCAAGTTCGAGTTTGTAGTTTGTATATTCGATATATCTAATTTTTGTTTTCTTTTCCCCATATATATTTTGTATTACAAGAATAAGAATGTATGCATATAAAATAGCATGAGAGTTGCCTTATTATAAAAATGTACTTAATTCGCCTGAATAAATCAACTTTAGAGTTCATTTTTTACACACATCATTTACCTGTCAACGCCAAGTGAATGTGTTTTTCACATGAATACCAAGCAGTTTTTGTGAAACTACACTGTCAATAGTTGAGTCGTTAATTTTCAAATTCAGTGCTTTTGCAATCTTTAGTTTTTGTCTACGACCTATTAACATACATTTATACTATTATAGGGTGCGAAAGCATGCTATTTTACACCACTTAATTATCATATTAAGGCTATGCTGTAGTTTTTCTTCTATATCAGATATGTCATCTACAGATTTATGCTATGTGGAATCATCAGCATATAAATCTGTATTGCCATTCTCGCAAACATTTGGGAGATCATTTATATAAAAGCAAACACAGCAAAGGACCTAAAATTGAACCTTGTGGAACGCCAGAAGTAACATTTTGTACGTCTGATTTTAAGTCTCCAATTTCAATTATTTGCATACGATTAGAAAGATACGAGTGAAAAAATTAATGATGTTACATTTGGATTTAGGAAATTGAGTTTTAGAAACTGTAGAATATCTTGTACTAGAATTGATTTTAGCAGATTTTTTTTTATTTTATTTTTCTCTTTTTTGCGCTGTAAGACACTTATCTACACTCTTGCTTTCAGGAGATCGATTTAAATGAAAGTGCAAAGGTTGGTAACGGGCGATATGATGGTAATATTGGTGCCGTGACCAGGAACGAACCGGCTATAATAACAAGTGACAAAAGCGATGCAACAAAAAAGAGGAAACGTGATTACAAAGCTAATTTATGGAAAACAGTGTTTCTGCTTTGGAATATTACTAATTTGGTAAGCTGTTGTTTTGTTTTGTTTCAAGATAATTAATAATGCACACGTATGATTGAAACTAAAATAAACTTATATACAACCAGATAGCAAAGATTCCCTTTTATATATGCAGCCATGCTTATCAGACTCTAAATTAATGCAAAGTTTGTTTTAATAATAAAATACGTGTTAAGATTACGATCACACATGAAGATCTTCGATCATTATTATTATCTAATGTCTTAGCCACATGTCATCATATATGGTATCAGCTGTTTACTAGAACTAACTATTCAAGGAACTGCCATTTTTTGAAGATATGTTCTTCCTTTTCCTGTAATTAAATATTAAGAAACATTAAATTTTAAGAAACATCGAATCTCAGGATTTCTTTACTATATAGTGCCCTATTTTGGATTTGTAATTGTTTCAAATGGTTTATACAAATGTATTTTAGTTTGATTGTGTTGGAAGTGATAAGCTTATTCAAACACTCTCGAATCCGTTCCTGGAACCAACCAGTACTTAGCAATGAGTGTAAAGTTTCTTGCTCAAGGAAACAACGGCTTGCCCCAGACAGGGTATGAACCACCGCGGTTTCAGTTGATGGTGTTTTGAATGAACACATGTGTAATCATTATTTTTTGCACTCTCGGGTGATATTGTGCAAAAACATGTATTCATTACTCTATCCATTTGCGATAATTTATTTTTACCATATAATATAATATAACATTAAACAGGGATGGGATTACGGACAAATTGGACCGATATTCCCCGATCTTCAAGACATAGCAGGTGTTTCATTGAGTCAAGGATCATGGTTTTTCACATCCTTTGCTGTTGGCTACTGTTTTGGATGCTTAATCAGCGGATTCAGTAAGCAGTAAATAATCCGTTTGTTTAAAGATAGCTATTTAGCATATTTCTGTTAAAGTAATAGACTAATTTGCAAAATTATAAGACACTTGGGGAATTTTTATGATAACATTATTTTTTGCCAACTCAAACTTAAAGTTCATCTGATCTATATTTTGGTAATTACAGTCTTGTATAAATAAAGTTAAGTAAATTTATTCTATTATATAACAGATAAGCATAATTGAAGCTAGACATACAGTTACATGAGTGAAACACATGTTATTCAAATTCTTGCTGCATTTCTTTTGGACTGCATATGAATAGAATATTTAACTGCATGTTTGCGCTGCAGACTGTTATTTACAGAATTACTTGCTTGTGACTAAATCTAATTTACATATCTACTAACAAATATTGCCAAAAAAATGGCCACCGTGAAAACTGACCGAAAAATATACCCATGGAAAAACTAACGGACCAAATATAAAAGTAACTTATACATGTACTACCTAATCGGACGTTGTTGTTTTTTGCATTTGACAATAGACTGCAAATGTAAATGCAAATTAAGGGTCATACTTCTTTTATTTATTTATTTGTTTATTTTTACAGTCCAATCAAAGGTCAACTCACACATTATGTTGTTTTTATACACAATGTTATCGGCTGGGTCTATGACATTGTTACCTTGGATACCAACCTTCGAGGTCATGACTTTACTGCGTGCATTGCATGGATTTGGTATCGGAGGTCAAGACACGTGTATGTTCATGATTATATATCATCCTATAGTTTTAACTATTTTTCCTAACTAAAAATTCTTTACAAAACCGAAATAAACAGACAAACCACACAAACACGAACATTCAGTAATTATTTATTGCATACGTTTCGGCTGTATGCCTTCATCAGTGCAAAACATAACAAAATTACCAAACTCCTCACAGCGGTTACGTCACGCTTTGCTACTTTTACTGTACAGATCAGGGGAAGTAACCGCTGCGAGGAGTTTGCAAAATTACCGGAAGCGACGTCATAACGGAACACGCGTAAAACGCGCGAAAAACGTTACATGGCGTCTAGCGGCAAAAATATGGTAACATGTAGAAACAAATATTTATGCTATAATGGATCAGTAGTGATACAGATGTCTTTTAAACAGTGTTAATAAAAATAAGATTATAGACAAACATATTAATATTCATGAAACACATTATAAATCAAACAATACTTTATTATTTAGTCCTTTTGGAATCATAGTATTTAATTTATGAATCCAAAGGGATTCTTTACATAACCGGTCAATGTTGTTATCTATAATTTCTATAGGCAAAAATGAAAAATCCGACAATGAACACTTATTTTCAGGTGATCCGAAATGGATCGCAACATGTGAAACTGGATTTACGTCACAATTTCTTATATCAAATCTATGTTTATTCATTCTGCATGATACATTTTGATTAGTTTGACCTACGTATTGCTTATTACAGCCTTTACATGTAATGAGGTAAATTACATTACGTGTAGTACAATTAACATCATTGTGTAAATCAAAAGAACGACCTGTAATGACCTGTAACAATTATATTGTTGCAATGTGAACATCTACTTCGTAAACATTTGCTAGATAAAAATGTGCGATCAAGTAAAGCACTTCTCATAAGATAATCTCAATATATTTTTTTTAAACCCATTTATTTCTCAAAAATAATAAAAAGTGAACTCAATAATGGAACTAGTTGACACCTTGATTGCTTCCATTTTTATGCACTCTTTCAAAGAAAAAAGAGGCATATTGTTTTGTAAATGTCGCTCGGTCTGTAGGTTTAATCACCACAATTGAGTAGAAGACCCCTATTGTTTTTGGGCGCTGATGTTTGAATGTCAAGGTCAATTTTTTCTTTATTGGTTAAGATAACTAGCATTGTATAGACATAGATGAATTTAAACTGCATAAAATAAAATTATTCACTTTTAACATGATAAAAGCAAACCAAAGAGATACAGTTTTATATTCACAAAGGATTGAAACTAGGTGAATATGATAATATTTAATAGAGGAAATTGAATGAGTGTAACTCGTTGAATAAAATAATATTATGTTCGCCAGAGGCTCGCATGATATAATTTCGCCAGAAGCTCGCATAATATAATAAACTCAGTAACGAACTTACACGAATTTAATATTTTAATTATCACATACCAAAAATAACGACCGTTTGAAGTGAAAATAAATACCATTTTTCATTGACGCGCCTATAGTATAACGCTAACATACACCCATGTTTGTATAACGCAAATAACGTTACGTCAAAATATATGCACGGCAGTGCAATACCATTTATACGGAGTCGAAAAATCGGCACGGGTATGTGATAAAGCATGTTATAAAGCATGGGTTTTTTGCTTTGCTTTATTCATCAACATATGCCATTACAGTTAAAAATAATCAGTTTCTAAATGACTTCGTGACGATAACTTATTTACTACCTATTAAAGGTATGGGGGAAGGCATACGTGTCATTTAGATATTTCTTGTTTCATAGGTGTCCATTCGATGCTGTTCGGACTTTGGGGTCATAAAGTAGGACCATATTTCCAGATGCTGCACGTTCTCTATGCGGTTGGTGGGGTTGTCTCTCCATTAATAACAAAACCGTTTCTCCGAGAAGGCAAGTATTATTTGTTTTGTCTATATTATAAATTACATATAAAGATTTTGACACGGTTAAATGGTCCTGTAAAACCGGCTGTAGTCATATATAACCCGAGGCATAAAAACGGTGTTCCGCGCTTTTTAAGTTAGCTCTTTTATTCGGCGGTTACATTTCCGCAAATGTTTGTATTCGCGAAGAAGTTGCATGTAAAAATCCGCACGTTCACTTAGATTATTATGATGTACTATGATGTAGAATGCATAACTTTTACCTATGCTTAAATGATACACATTTCAAAATAAGATTTCCCTTTGAAAAACGGTTGCTGTTTGAAAGTATCCATTATTTGCAGATAAAATAAACATATAATACATGTACATGTTATTTTCGGCTTGCATACTTTGAATGGGTGTAATTTTACTTGCATCTCGGACTATTTCCTGCAGAAAATGTTCTCGGCCTTACAGCCTCCATCATTTTCTGAAGAGATAGACTATCGATGTCGACCCAGGTAATGATATTTCCACATAACAGTCTCGTCGCTATACTATAACTATTATATAAGGTTATTCATAGGTAAAATGTAAAGATGTTGTCAATGTCGTATGCCTTAGTCTTGTTTGCGGGAATAGAGAGAACAAATACAGAAACGCAATTGTGATACTCGCCGATAGATATGTCACAGTGGCGGATTCAGGCCCGGGCTTCAGGGCTGCAGCCCCCCCCCCCCCCAGCTTGACCCAAAGATATGTTTACCAGTTGGGCTGGAATATATTTTTGTCAGTTTCAAACTTTATTGGCTGTAGTGTACTCCCTTATCAAAACATTAATTGCTGTCATCCAGTTGTTAATCTCCTGCCTAGGGGCTTGGCAGAGATCTTTATCTATATCAGCATGCTTAAATGACTTCAATGTTTAAACTGCATAATTGATTGGTTTATTACTTTCCAAAGGTCTAATGAAATCAATGCAAATAGATTTGTTACAGTGTGCACCATATTTTACTATCTTTGTTTTTGCAAGTCCTATTATTAAGAAATTGATAATTATTATTTGTAAATTAAAAAGATGGCGAGTTTTATAATGATAATATTAAAGGAAACGTGTTTTAATCACTACCGGTAGTTTTACTAAGATTTTTATTAAGATGACATAATTGGTCATTTGCTTTTAATAACTTTTTATAGCAGTTATATTTTTAAATATAATTTAAATTTTACTGACCTCTTTAGTATCTAAAATGGATTCATTGATGGGAAAAATTCTTATTGAATACTAGTGTTTAATTTTATTTTTTTAGTACATTAGGAAGGCAGTATTTTAATATCACTCACAATGTAACTTTGGAAAATCGTCTATTATTCAGATGAATAAATTGATCAAGTGTTTGAATTTATTTTTATCAACAGTTGTACATACATTGGTAAGTGTGCTGTTATTTTGTAAATGCTCACTACTTAACATTAGGGGAATTCTTTTTGAAAGACCCTGCAAACAATAACCTATACAAAATACATTATTTTGTAAAACCATCCAAAAGGTACAATAAACAGCACAAGAAAGTCAAGGAAATAACACCATTTTCAACCTCATATTTCAAAATTTTCTCGGTCTATGGGAGGGGACACCCCTCCCATGCCCACCCCATTAACATAATGTTCTTTACCATTCGTGAAATTAGCGGTCGCTATGATTGCGTAAAAGCTTGTCTCCGTGAAAGCGATATCCTTACGAAAATCTCGAAACATTGTATCAACGAAAGTACTGGTTACTGGGTTTAAAAAAATAATGTTCGTTCGATATCAATGTCATTGCTTTGTATGATACAACCTAAGTATGATTTGTGCATAGCAATGTAAGAGACTTCTTTAATCTATTCCACAGGTCAGGACATTCAAGTTCATGATATCAGTTCCAACACTAGTTTATTTCAACAGAACTCAACAGCGTTCTTCAATTCTACTCTCAGCTCCATCACTAGTGCTATGCCGGATGACGTCATTGCAAAAGAAAGTAGCGTGCACTTTGCACTTTTAATTACCGGTATTATGAACACGTCGGCCGCCGTTCCCTTCCTCGTTATTTTCTTATATCGTGGCGAAACAATAAAGCGCCAAAATGTTTCAGTTGAAGGAGGCGGTGAAAAGAAACCGACAATTTTACCTAGACATATTGAGGTGATTGTTTTGTGCGTATTTCTACTTAATTCCTTCGTGGCGACGGCATTTATCGACCTTTTTCCAAGTTTACTGACCACATTTTTAATGGAAGTAGGAATGACACAACAAGTTGGATCTAATCTAACATCGGCCTACTTTGCCTTGTATGCCGTCGGAAACTTCTTGATGATATTTTGTTCAATTTATATCGCGCTTACAAAAATAATGCTATTTTCTTACGCCGGTACTTCTTTTCTGCTGGCAGGTGTGATATTATGTACTATTTTTCCAAATGAAGTGCTACTTTCAGCTTTAGTAAGTTTATGTGGACTTTCTACGGCTGTTATAATACCAACCATATACACATGGATAAACGAGCACGTGACACCGGTTACTGGTAAAATAGCTTCCGGTTTGCTTATTTCCGGTTCTTTAGGAATATCTCTGAATCCGCTGTTGGCAGGATATCTAATGGAATCGTACACACCGATGTGGTTTATTTATTTATGCTTGTCAAAAACAGTAATATGCACAATGCTTTTCATTATAGCTTTGCTGTTAACCAAAAGATTTTCGACTGTGAAAGAAACAAATGCAGGGTTAAAAGAAGATGAAACAAATGAAATCGCTGAAGGCCAAATAAGTATATCTACATATTTGAATGGAAAATTGCAAAATACATACGAATGTACACATTTTTAAGTTGAGGTTGAAGAAGTTTATGCTTCATATAAATACATCATTTTTAACTTTTCCATAATAAATAGGGCCTAAATTGACGAAAAGTTCGTCGGGCTTGAGGGGAGGGGGTGGATTTATTATATGCGGAAGGCCCAAAGGTCTGCTGCCACTTTATGATACTACGTACAAATTTAAAACTCATTAAAATCAACTAGAAACCAATGTAAGACATTTACATACCCTTGGGTTAGCTAGGTGCTACCTTTTTTGAGTAATCAGATGCTGATCAAAACAAACAAAACCTGAACATTTGTACTGGTGATAAGACGGTCCTAAGAATTTTGTGAACTAATTGTAGAACCAGTAAAAATGTTCGACTGTTCAGCATTGATCAAATGTTTGCATAGTCTAGGAAAGCCGGTAAGGTGAATCGATTGCCGAGATGATGACCAAAAAAGTGTTAAAATCAGCTTTAAATGTAAAAAATGATGATTTTACAAAAACGTCTATAGAATATAGACTGTTGAAAGAAAGAAAAAAAAAGAAAGAAAGAAAGAAAGAAAGGAAGGAAGTTATATTTTACTGTCATCTTCCTAGTCCCTGAGGAACAACAAATTTCTTTCTTTTTACTTAGATTTATGGCGTACAAATATACATATTTTTAATCAAAGTGCGAAGAAATACATGTAGTTTAAACAGATATACATGTATTGAATGTGATATAAAACTATTGCATATAAATGTAAATGTATTGAATTTGATTTAAAAATACGTACATATACATGTATTGTGCATAGCATAGATACATATGTAATGAATTTGATATACATGTATATGTGATAAAGTGCGGAGACATATTTGTCATTGAGTGCGTGCATATACTTGTATTCAGTTTGTAGATATCATAAAATCATTTAAATAGACATATCTTGTCATTATTGTAAGGAGCTCTGCATTTGTCTTTTTAACTCGACTATACGAAGTATATATGAAGAGATGTCCTACTCGCCCCGGCGTCGGCGTCCAGATTATTAAAGTTTGGTGCAGTAAATTATTTTTCACCATAACTTTTTCATTTCTTAAGGTATCAACTTCAAACTTCAAGTATATGTTTTATCATCAACCACATCTTATTTGACAAGGTTCATAACTCTAGCAGCAATATTTTAGATTAAACTCCCCTTGAACTTAGAATTTTCCTTAAAAATATTATTTTTAACTTCTTTACTTCTTCAGTGCCCCTTTTTATTATAATGTATTTTGAATCATATACTTAGTGCATGTATGTACTACATTATAACTTAGGAGAAGTTTAATGATTGAAGCTGACAAAACGTGAATATTTGTCTTTGTATTATAGTCTTTGTTAACATATTCTTTCTTTGCTTTTTTAAATGAATGCTAAAATTAATACAAAAAAATGAACATTGTATCATTTATACAGTGTCGTCCCTGAACTGCCAAGTTTTAATGGTCAGAAATTGATAAATTATCGTTTCACACCTGTTTGAAAAAAGGTTTGTTGAAAGGGTATCTACTCCTGCCTGAAATAAGCCCCAGTGCCTTACTCCAACAGTAATTTACTAGAGCTGAAAAATTGCTGTATGACCGTGATTAACTTGAAACTATTTGCAGGAGATATTTTGGGTGATCTGAAATAGAAACCCAAGTTGTCATCTGGCAGTTTTGTACAGCTGTTCCCATGAATAAAATTGTCAAATGTAGTGTTCCCATGAATAAAATTGTCAAATGTAGTTGACAATAATTATTATAGTAATATGAATACTCTTTATATATATAAAAGAACATCTTCCTTACGAATATGAACCGAGACAGTTTTGCTATGCCTGTGTTTTTGAAAATGTAACATGATTCTTATTTCTATTCGCATGCCTTACCAATACTTACTATGCAAAGAGAACATTTAGTTACTAGGCTATATGTAGTAAAGTATCAACATACGAAGTACATTAAAAAACATAATAGCACATATCCATTAATAATATCTGATTATTATATACTTATAAAATAATTATTTTGAAATATTGATGAAATGAAACGCACATTTTCATTTTCCGTGTTTTTACACTGCATTGAAACATTTTCGCCAAGGCAAATTATTAAAATGTCGAATTTCTTTCAGGGAACATCATAATCTCACCCTAAGTATGTCTTAATAATCAAAAATTTACATCGGTTTTTGAAAAAAAGTTTGCCACGTACATTATGCCATGGCAAAACGCGCATGCATAAAACTAACGTTATATTTGTAGACATGGAAAAAAGAAATGTCATTTTACTAGCAGGTCATTTTACGGGACAGTTTGTGATCATGAATATATTATAATAATTTATGACGTCAGTTTATTCTGATAAATCACATTTGGTCCGCTTAAGATGATCACGTTATGAGTTGCAAAACCATTTGGCGAATGTCATTTCAAACAGTCGGATAATAACTAGAAATGTTTTCAAGATATCGTTGAATGTATTCCTTAGGGAAGTGATAATTGTTTTTAAAGATAATTAAAAACGTTTAATAGCTAATTGCAGTGTATTAAACATTTACTTGAAATATCTTCACATTATGATGAAATCTAGATCTACTTCGATATATTTGCTGCATTAACAAAATGAATACGAAACAAATTAAGGATTTAAGACTGGATATAGAACTTGCCAATACCTCTGGCGTGGATGTTCCAACGTCTGATATAACTACAAATGCTGAAAATATATCTGAGATGAAAACCTACGATGAAGTACTAGATGAAAATGTCGCCAAAGAAACAATTGATGTGGAAGGTAAAAATGCTTTTACAACTAAAGGAATCAGCAATGGTTTTGGACGGAAATGTGACAAGAATGTCAATGGGATAGAAAATGCAGGTTATCTGAACGACCCGGATGCTATGAAAGGTCGAACTATAAAGGTAATTCTCAATGTCAGGTATGTGTATGTCTGTAAATAAAAAAGTTACAAGTTTATTGTGTCAGAAGTTAATTCTAAACGAATAATTCTTTTTCATTTCATTATCATTTGAACCAATCAAATAGCGATGCGAAATAGAAGAAATGGCCATGTATTACCAGTGTATGAGAGGCATATTTTAATAAGTGACAACGGCAGCTCGTTTTTATAAATAAGTCAGACCTGTGAAAAGTTATTAGAAGAGTTCTTCAAAAAATTAATCACCATGGACCTCTACACACTTTTCCAGCCTCAGAATCCATTCCGTAAAAGCATTTTTGAGCTGCACTTTGGAACTGCTCTTTGGGTATATTGCTTATACACTTGTAGTGAGCACTTCCGACGGCACTACGGGTTTTGAACCGTCGGCCGCGGAAGCAAGACTTGATGTATTGTTTTAACCAAAAGTCACAAGAAGAGAGGTCAAGAATATAAGCGGGATGTAGCGAAACCACAATTATCTTTTCCTCTAAAAAAGCTTAAAACAAGACTGACCGGTACGCAGATGCATTATCATGGAGTAATTTGATCTTGCGCATCATGGACCTTCGGTTCAATTTTGGCTGCTCTCTTAAATCAAACCCACATGTATTTAAATGACCTGCTAAAATGTTATTGCACTTGCAAATAGTGTTAAAGTAAACTGTTGTTTAGAAAAGTCAATAATCTTTCCAACGGTATATTACACTTGTTCTTTCACGTGAAAATCATGGTTAAATTGAGTTATTGCCACTAATTAAAATATGCTCCTCATATTTCCTATATTGCGGAATTTTTCTTTGGTGAATTATTGGAAATGACGTTACATTTTGTAAAGTAAATTTTAAGTTTCTTACTCTGGATGTGGGACAGTGGGGACATAAGGAAATAAGCTTCAAATGTCCTGCGCGTCCGGGTCGATGGAGTTGTATTATTTTAGCAACATAATAAGAATAATAATAATAACAACAACACCTTTCTTTACAGAAGGTAACAAATCAAAGAGACATATACAGATACACCTTATTCACAATGCGGCATTCTAAATAAAATAATATAAATCAAAAGAAAATATACTAGTAATATGTAAGAATCATTTAATGGTAAATCGTAACACATATACAAATATAACTATCATAAAACACAATTACTTTCTTCAGTACATTATTTCAATCTGCAATTAACAAAGTCAATACATGTACTATGACAGACACTCATTACTAGAAAACAGTTAGATACTCGTAGTAAGAAATAAAGATAATAATAATAACATATGTAAAAATATAACGATCGTATCTTGTACATATAATACACATGAACCATATTGAAGTTGAATGAATATATCTTGATTTTTTTTTAAATATTGCCAATTTTGTTTTTCCTCTAATTGTCAGTGGTATGGAATTTCAAATAACCCTGTCATAAAATTGGAACGTCATTAAAATAATAAGAACGTGATTTGTAAGACAAAACTAAATTTCTGTGAGATTTTGATCTTTTGATTATTAGATACGGAGATACGGTAAGTACATGTAAATCTACATTACATTGAGGAGACATATTATTCAGTGTTTTATATACTCCGGTGTGAAAAATACATCTTTTCTTGAAAGGTAATATTGTGTATAAATTTTCGGATCGTTTTCTTATTGGAAGGTCTAGAATAATTTTGCAAATTCGAGTTTGTAAGTCGAAATTTCGAGTTAGTAAGTCGAAATTTCGAGTTAATTAACTCGAAATTTCGAGATAAGTAAGTCGAAATTTCGAGTCATTAACTCGAAATTTCGAGTTATTAACTCGAAATTTCGAGAATTTCGAGTTAATAAAAAGCATTCACTTGGCACTAATGCTCTTCCGTAAATTTGTTTATTCGGTTTATATATTTTTTGTTTTCTTTTGCACATATGAATTTTGTATTTTAACAATAAGAAGGTATGCATTATAAAATAGCATGCGAGATGCCAATTTAAAAAGTACTTTATTCGCCTGAATAAATTAACTTTAGAGATCAATTTTTGTGCCCCCACTATAGGGATGGGGGCATTTAGATTTACCCTTGTCCGTCCTTCCGTCCGTCCGTCCGTCTCTTTTGTGTTGTACGTAGCTCAAAAAGTAATTGACCTAGAGTCATGAAACCTTACAGGAATGTGATCAGCATGTGAAGTTGTGCACCTGGGTATTTTCGTGTGGATATATTTAGTATTTTTAGAGTTATTACCCTTGAATTAGTAAAAAATTGCAATTTTCAACTTGTGTCGCACGTAACTCAAAAAGTATTTGACCTAGAGTCATGAAACCTTACAGAAATGTTGATCAGCATGTGTAGTTGTGCACCTGGGTATTTTTATGTGGAAATATTTAGTATTTTTAGAGTTATTGCCCTTGAATTAGTAAAAATTTCCAATTTTCAACTTGTGTTGCACGTAACTCAAAAAGTATTTGACCTGTAGGCCTGAAAGTTTACAAGAATTGTTGGCCAGCATGTGTACTTATCACCTTGGCATTTGTGGATTTATTAAGTATTTGTTAGTATTTCCCCCTTTACTTAATAAAAATTTTAGTTTTAAACTTGGCACATGTACCCAAAAAGAAATCCTGGACTAGTTGACAAATCGTGGGTTGGGGGCACCTTTCCCAGGGGATCCTAGGGACACATTTCTATTTCCCTGACAACCCCAATTGAGTTATTTTCCAATAAATCCCAAAGCTTTTTTAATTTCTTTGTCATAAAAAAGTTGAGTCGTTAATTTAAAACCCGGCTTTTGCGTTCTTTTTTTTTCTACACCAACAGAAAATTCAGCCCCTTTTTAGGTGAACGCATGCTTTTTTTTACACATTAATTATCATATTAAGGGTATATTGTAGTTTTCTTCTTTTTTGATATTATCTACAAATTATCTATGTGGACATCGCATATAAAAAATTTAAATCTCCTTCATTTTGGGGGGGTCATTTATACAAAAGGCCTAATTGAACCCTTGTGCAACGCCAGAAGTAACATTTTATACTTCTGATGTTAAGTCTCTAATCTATATTATTTGCATATGATTAGAAAGACACGAATTAAAAAGTTTAATGATGTTACGGTTTGATTTAGAAAATTGAGTTTTAGAAACTCGAGAATATCTTGTACTAGTATTAAAAAGTATTGATTTTAGCGGATTTTTTTGCGATGTAATACACTCCTACACTCCTGTTTTCAGGAGATCGATTTAAATGATAGTGCAAAGGTTGGTAACGGGCGATATGATGGTAACATTGGTGCCGTGACCAGGAACGAACCGGTTATAATAACAAGTGACAAAAGCGATGCAACAAAAAAGAGGAAACGTGATTACAAAGCTAATTTATGGAAAACAGTGTTTCTGCTTTGGAATATTACTAATTTGGTAAGTTTTTGTTTAAGCTGTGATTGAAACTAAAATAAACTTATATAACAACCAGATAGCAAAGATTCCCTTT